AGTGAGACGAGACCTGTTTAGGAGACGGGGGTGACAGGGGCAAAGCGAAGAGTAAAGTTGAGAAAGTAATCTAGGGTAGAAAAAGAAAGATTTTTGCTGTGAGATAAGAATAAGAGAACATCACTTAGAGGAAATGAAGACAAGAGGAAAGAGCTGACAACCCCGTCTACAAGACGGGTAATTATAGGGATGTGTTCAAATCAGACCCCTCATTAGTTCATGCATCAACGCAACCTGATAGAGCCTTTTGGTGTCAACTTCCTTTTAATCAATGTAGGCTTTAGTGTCAATATCGAACAACTGGGTTTAGCCTATATAAGACAACTGATTCCAAGGACCCACAGCATCACAACCCCCCGCCCCCCTACACAACACTGGTCAGGTGAGGTTCCTTTCTCAGCTCAGACCTGTTTTAAAACCCAGCCACACCTCAGCAGTTTAATATGACTTCGGCAGCTGAAAACTTTCCTATTCAAGCTTTTCTGATTATTCTTGCTTTCTTTTATGTCAGTCTCACTTTACCTGCTAAAATCTCAAGCTTGGTCCAATCAACACGTTTTCATTTGTGATGGTCAGACAGAAAAGGCTCATTTATTGTCGCGCCATTTATTGCCATGGTCTACATACCATATAATCAAATGGTATGTAGACAGTTGTTCTGAAAACTCTGTGACTTCATGATGACTATATTTGTTGTAGTTTTCTGTCTCTGGCCTCCTACTATAAACATAATTCTGGTTCCTACTGCAATAAAACACAGATTTATTTTAAGGTTGTTTGTGCAAAGAGCCTCAGAATGATATTTACTCATCCCATGATCAGTCAGTCAAGTTTATTTGTAAATAACATTTCAGCAACATGTCATGTTTTATCTTTTAGATCATGAAAATATATTTTACAAAACATCATAAACACCCTATAGTCAACAGTTGTGAAAACCAATAACAGGCATTACATTATTACAATCATCAATACACACCAAATATGTTGGTCAATGTTCCATTTATTATGGTTCCAACGCAGCTCTAAACATTTGGGATTTTAGCCTTGATTTAAAGGAACTCAGCGTTTTGGATGTTTTGCAGTTTTCTGGAAGTTTCTTCCAGATTTACGGCGCATAGAAGCTGAATGCTGCAGCACATTAATCTACGTAAAACAGCATGTCATGCATGTCTTATTTCTAAGCCCCAAATAGAAAACTATCTCAAATCTTACCTTTCAATTTTAATGCAGCCTCTGTGAACTGAAACCTCAGAAGATGTTTACAATATGATTATTTCCCTTGACAAAAAAAAAAAGGAATATTCTTTCTACATTTAGGTCTCTTGTAGAAAGTAGATGATGTTGAAGTTAGCACAAGCTTCTTCATTTGCATCCTAACCTCCCCTTTGGTCGAGCAACATAGGAACTCTCCAAACACAAAATGAACAGTAGTGATACGGCTATCATTGGTAATCCATCCATGAGGTCCCAGGAGAGATGAGCCGGTAGATAACAAGTCACCATTTTTTTTTTCTTTTAGGGTCTATAATTCCACAAAATGTCATAGTAATCACTCTGCTCCTCTGCTGATTCTCTTTAGATCAAAGCGGCCCACAGTCAGACAGATTGACAGACCTTGAATAAAAAGTAAAGTGACTTAATCCCCTGTTGGCAGTTCTGTTGGTTTTGAACTGTGTATATAAAGGATGATGAATGTGCTCTTTCACAGTTGAAAGGCAGCTAATGGAGCAGGGAGACTTGTTAGACAAAAAAAAAAACACTTTAACAAGGACATGAAAGACACAAAGGACATGGGACTTTTCCAGAATTTACCTCTCCTTCACCAAATTACAGATCAACTGTTTTAACCATAACATTTGCCACACGGTTTATTATCTCATGTCATCCTACACATTAAAGAGGGTGGGGGTATTTACAGTATGGCGTAAATTATCTCAGACATTATGATGTATTCTCCAAAGCACATACAAACTATACAGATTACAGTTGGACTGAATCTCAATGAGCATTTTTTCATGTACAGTGTAATATGTAGGAAGAAGTGATTGACCCTTAAACCTAATAACTTTAGGCTTAAGGCTTTGCAATTCTGCAAAAAAAATTCAAACAATCCTTTGCACTTGGGTTTGTTTAAGGTGTGGGACTGTTTAAGGTGATTCCTGAATGAACTTTGACCCGGTCAGGTCACAACCTTCTCTTGATGTTTTCTTTTTTGCTTTGCTTTGTTTCTTGGAGAATTTGTAACTGGACTTGCTGGTGGGCTTTACGTTTCTGTCCTGCTGCATGATCAAAGTGTGATTAGCTTAAGATCAGGAACGGGATGGTCTGGACATTCACCTTCAGGTTGAATATGATGCTAACTGAGATTTTGCTTCTCATCACAGGTATATTCTAACTAAGAGGCTAAATAGAGACAAACAAAACAGTGTCAGCATTTACTGTACTTTGCTGTTTTTAAACTGTCCATAGTTAGGTTTAGATATTGTTTTCAATAGAGAACATCGTAAGACATCTCCCTTTGTTTTCCATGACCCAAACTGGTCCATGCAATCTGCTGTCTGGCATTTAATAAAATATTTTTTAAAATGTATCTATTTTTGGCAGATAATGCATTACCTTTATGCATTACCTTTATTCATTACCTTCTGATATCTGGACTTTATTTTCGTCTGTAATGATCCACCTAACTTTCTTGATACAGATCTAGATGTTTAGAAGCAACCACATCATGTCCAAGTTTTGAGTAAAGAAGACAAATAGCATTAAAATATTCCACAAACACATCAATCAAAGCAGTTCTGGGCCTCAGATTTAGGTTCTCAGTCGTATTCTTACCTATTAAGACAGACCACTCCCTGAATGTTTCTATAATACTGCCTGATCTGAAGTGTGGGCTGAGTGCTGCTCTTGAATGCACTTTTTGCGTTTACTTTTCCCAAAGAAGCTCAGTAGCACTGAATATGGTGTTTTACCATTCCATTTGACAGTGTCAGCTTGCTTAAAGTTCTTATGGGCTTAAACACTCAGCTTCCCCAGAGCAGGTTGTGATTGTTTAATCCCACCAGCGACAGGGATTGCTGTCAAAGTTTCACAGAATTTTGCCAAATAACGAGAGGAGAACCACTCGGGGTTCAGATCAGCCTAAAGCGTTGACTCGTGGTTCCTGAAGACATCCGTCAGGCTTACAGGACTTTCCTGATTAAATTAATCTCAAAAATTCTGATGCAGCTTTTCTTCACAGCATCACCATGAGTCCCACCGTAACATTATTTCCCACCTTAACCTCCCAACAAATTAAGACATGTTTAGCTCCAGTGTGGTCGGTTTTTTTTTTTTTTTTTTTTTTTTCCCCAATACACAGAGTCATATTCTGTGACAGAGTCCTCACGCAGGTTGAGTTTTACTGCACTGAGCAGATAACACAAGTCACTGTCTAATTTATTTTATTTCTTGACAGTGCCCACAAATGATTTATTACCTCCTGTCACAGGCTCCTTATTGGGCCACTCCTGTTTAATGAGGCCACATTAGCATAAATATTAAGATGAGGACAGCATCCACGAGGTCAGCTCTACCTCTGCCAACCTTGATTGGTTTGACTATCTTATTTTTGTATTTGAGAAAGGGCGTAGGGGGGTTAAATCAAGCAATATTTTACTGTTGTGTGTGGGTGTCTGTGTTAGTCGAGAAAATGAAAATGGATGACCTCATAGCTGACTAGCAGGAGGAATTAGACTCTTTGCTGCAAAACTAAAAATAACATTGAAATGCACATGGTGGTAAATTGGAGAATTGCTTGTTCTCGTGCTGCCTGTTTGACTTTTGATGTCATATTTAAAAAAGAAAAAAGAAAAGAAAACATCACTGAATTGCAAATTTTAGTAAACTACAAAATCATCTTTTATTATTCTCCAGTGGTAACTGATAAACTCAGTGTGTTATACCTGAGATCAGCCGAAACCAATGAAAGAAATATTCAATTTACTAAGTCAAAGCTGGAGATAAGCACCTACATGAATATAAATGTAATGATTTTTATAGTTGTAGGTCCACCTTTACAGATTGTTTTTTTAAAAAGCAAGGCTAACTAACTCTCCACATCAATGTTTTGTAGAAACACCTTACTTTATTGAGTGGTATGTCTTTACCACTTGGGAAACCTGCAGACTGAAATGGCTGCCTGTTTATCTGTGCAAAATCACTCAAGCCTAGTCAAACTTAATGTGAAGTGTCAATGAGAATTAGTTTCCAAGCCTTGACATGGATTTTCCCTTGGATGGAGTGCTGGACTTTGCCTGGACCATTTTAACACATGAATAGACTCTGCTTTGTGGCGCTGACTCTATACTAATAAATGTTGTTTTACTGGAATATGAAAATCACCCTCTGTCTTACATATGTGCACAGGTGTTTGGAGTTGTTTCAAATACAAAAACAATCACCTTAAACAACTGAATATAAAATAAATGAAAACAGAAAACACTGCAAACTAATGAGCTAACATCTAGCATGTTAGCCACCTCTGCATCTGGCTAACTAATGAGCTATTCTTAAGTTTCCAGTTAACTAGCTATAGATAAAAATATATTACACAAAATAATGGCGTTATTTTAAGTAAGTGGTGAGTCGGTCTCACCACTTCCACCACTTGAAACATAGTGATGGCAGCATCATGCTGGGGTGATGGTTTCTACAGCCTGGACTAGGAAACTGATTATAGTGAAAAGGAAGCTAGATGCAGCTAAATAGATCAGCTATACAAACTCATATATATGTGATATGTAAGGTCATATATGATTTCGCTGATATGCTGATAGCTTGCTAATGTTCCATTTGATATTTGATACCTTCCAAAAATAGCTGTGTTCATGCTGATGTTAGATTAAGAACAAGCTCGAATAATCAATTAATCAGATTTTTATAACTGACATTATAATCTTTTCAAGCAGGGCAGGTTTTTAAGTAAGCGGTTAAATCTACTCAGGCGGTCTGCGAATATGTCTCAGTTGTTAACTGGACCTTCCCAGCTGCCGTACTATACAACGACTTGTTTATCTGAGTAATAAGACGTTCATACTAAGTGGATTAGAGTGAGAAACATGTCTGAATATTCACATGTAAAATCAACTAAGCTTGTTCTGAAGGGTCAGAATAAAGGGTAAGTGTTCTTCTTTGTTTGTAGCGTTAGTTATTGAGATGCCGCGTTGTTTGCAGCTATAAATCAGTCTCTTCCCTAGCTAGCTTTAGCTAGAGCGCTAGGCTAAACAGTGACGTTGGAAATCATGAAAGACCTCAAAGAACCTTTAAGATTTAAAATGTCTCCATTATTTAGAGTAACTTATGTTTGGCTATAGCTAGATAACTTGAATCTTAAGAATAGTTCGTTAGTTTATTAGTCAGCCACATGCAGAGTTAGCTAACGTGCTAGCTGTTAGCTCATTGGTTTGCAGTGTTTTTTACGCTTATTTTAACATCAGTTGTTTAAGGTGTTGGTTTTGTTTCACCTTGAAACGACCACGTCTACTAACATATGCAAACTTAGCAGAATGTGTGAGGTTTTGTCTGTCTGTTGATGAGCTTTGATTGGTTTGGGAATACAGAGTACATGCATGTTAATATGCGCATGATCACAACATGAAGATTGAATTGGATTTTTTTTTTTCCCAGAAAAAAGAAGAAGCACAAAGATAAAAAGAGAAAATCTGGAAATGACGAAGATAAGCAAGATATTGTTGGTATGACCTGTTATTCTTATTCTTCTTATTATTATTATTCAATCTCTAAAGTGTGCTTGAATGCTAAGAATGCATTCTTAGCATGCTCCAGTTGCTGTAGTGCAGTAGAGTCTAAATGTGTCCCAGCTTTAACTTGAGGGAATTTAGTTTGAAACGAAACGTTTAACACGTTTATTTACCTAAATATTTGCCAGACTTTAACCACAGCTTTCTGCAATATTTTGCAGGTTTAATAACTGACAAATATTAACTGGTTTTAAGTATCTAGGTTTGGTCTCCACAGGTTGTTTTATCAAAAGGCATTTTACATATTTGTACAGTCAGAACTAAAGTACAGAGGTTTGTAGTCTTTTGTTGTTGTTGTTGTTGTTGTATCTGTCACCATGTCTGATTCATTTTGGTTTGTGATATGAGTGAAACAGAATCCAAACAAGTTTATTTAGATTTTGGGGGATTAATAAAAGAGCAATTTATAAGCGCAATAATTTATGGATTTCATTTAATAACAGTGGGCAGAATTAAAATTCGGTTCTCAAAATATGATTTTTTTTATATATATATATATATATATATATATATATATATATATATATATATATGTATATGTATGTATGTATGTGTTCTCTGTAAGAACTTGAGGTATGTGCCTTTAAATTCTATTCTCCATACCTGTTTTTGTTTCTGCCATGCAGAACTCTTGTGTTCCCAGACCTGTTCTCTAAATGTAGATAAATTCAACATTGGTCATTTTAATGACTTGTATAATAAAATATTAACTATCCTTTTTTTAATATCCCCTGAAAGTCAGTCATATTTTGAAATATCTGCCACCATCAAATAAAGCAGAGGACATGATTAAATGTGTATAACAGTAACCTGAATGACATGACCAACTTCCTGTACAAGGCTCTACATCCTGCCAGTTTTTAATGTAAAGAACAACAAGTGAGACTGTATTAAATGTATAAAATTTAACATCTCCATGCCTTTATGAGAGATTCAAGCTGTATTATGACTTCATTTTTCTTGGCTTCATACGGTACCTTGGTTTCTCTGCTCCCCAGGTGGTTGGTGGTGTGTCAGTAGTTTCGGAGACATTGCAGGAACGGTTGCCATAGAGATGCAGAACAACTCATACATTCATGCCCTGGATACTGGGCTCTTCACACTTGGCGCACCACATGGAGGTATGAAGAGAGACGGGGATTATGATGCAATTATTACTTCAAGGGTTTAGTTCGTTCATGCGGTTCATGAGCAGTTTGGTATTCCAGCCAGGCGATTCCATTATTTCTATTGGAGCTGCACAATATATTTACTTTGAGTTGGCTTTGTGATATCAATGTGTGCAATATTGCAATCACAAAGGCCTGCTTGAATGCAATATTTATTAAACTACTACATTTAATATTGTAAGCCTTTCAGTTCTACATGCAGATGATCTGTTTGGCCTTGATGTCTAAACCTCCCGCTGATTTCACTGAGCAAGATCCTTTAAATTTAAGAATTTATTACATTTAGTTTAAAACACTTTTGAATGACTTTTCTAAAGCAAAAATATAATCTTGCCAAAAAAAATGACAACTTTTACTATAAGTGACAAAATATTTCCTGGTTTTTACTGTTATTTACTTTAAAAAAAAAATAAAAAATAAAAAAAAAAACTTTACTCATTAGTGTTTTTAACACATGAATATGTAAATTAATTAGTCATATCAGTTTGTTCAAGTATTATTTTATTACCACATTTGTGACTTTTTTGTTTCATATTTTGTATAGATATAATCTGCATATCACCATAGAATATGACCTTTATGAAGAAAACACTTGTCAGTTGTTAAGATATTAACAACTGATGAATAAAATATTTTTAAAAAACAGCCTTAAATTGTACAGTACATTTTTATAAGAATTTATATTCTCTATCAAATCCATATGGAGTAAAAACAAAGCACAGAGCTGAAAGCGCCAAGTCATTATGCAACGATTATAGAGCCTTGATGAGTTGAGTAAAATGTGGATAATAAAAGTTAGATTAATTTAATCTGTCAATCAGGTTGAAATACCACCAGCTGTCCAGTTTTTTTCCACAAAAAAGTGAAAACCTAACCTGGGTTTTCTGCTCATTGAGCTTTGTGTCGCCATTCCCGCACTTCTGGCTTAAGCAACAAAGTATCTAAAGTGGAGGTGAAGTCAGATGCCAGGTGAAACGCCTGATAGGAGCTGAGTTGAAGAGAAGGCCAGAGCTAATTCAGAGATATTACCTCCATCTACCTGCAGGCACTTCTGACAGAGTACAGCTCATTGAGTCAGTCTGCCCTGAAAAACACCCGGCACACAATTAATTCTGCCCATGCTCAGCAGGAACATCCAATTCCCTCAGCGAGCCTTCGGTCTCTGCATGCATATAAGCCCGTTTGGATGAGATGAAAGGGACCAAAAGCTTCCAGTGGAAAGACCACAGAGCCACTCAAGAACGTGGTCACAGTCTCTACAAGATTATGAAGATAATTAGCATTTCCAACCTAGATTTTATGAGGTGTTTTAATCAAACCACACCAGACCTGAATAATAGAGTCCTGGTGAATCTCCTCATCCACGGCCGCTTTGGAGAACCTGAGAAATTTCAGGGAATAATTAAAAAATTATATCTGCAAGCTCAGCGCAATATGCGCACCAGACTCATGGCGACAGCAGGAGCTCCAACACTGCCACCTGTCGTCATTCCTGCACTTATTCACAAGGGGGCGCGTTTGACAAGTCTTCTAAATCACCATCAGTCCATGTCGGTATGAGTCCTAGACATGTAAGTCTTAGACATTTAGCCTAAATCCAACCTTCCAGTTTGAGAAAGAAAACCACTAGCGAAATAAGTGACTCCTTGTAGGAAGGGGGCGTAGTTAAGGTGATGTCACCAAATTATGAGCATAATGTGTTAATTACTGTTCAGTTATGTTAATACAGCTATGAAATTGTGTGTGGAAGTTATTCTAAGTTATTGTTTAATGGAAAATTGTCAGATTCTGAAGCTTGGCCACACCTACATACTTTAGCATAGCAGGAAGATGCATTAAAAGGGGAAAAAAAATAAATTTAACATTTAAATAAAATGTAATTTTTATTTAGATGCATCTTTCTCTCAGCAGAAAGATGCATTAAGGCATCTGTCTGCTGGTAACTTTTGATCTTCAATGCCTTAAGGCTGTGCTGCTGATTTTCAAGTCTGGATGTGAAAAACTGTTCGCTCAGATAGAACGTAGCGGTTTTGATCCAAAATGGCCGACTTCGTGTATGTTTCAAGCTATACCTCCAAGAGCCTTTTTGTTCTTGATTTGTGGGGATCTACATGCGTACCAGGATTCAGACCTCTGCTGAATCTTGGTAGAGATCTGACACAGTCTGTCCTATCTGTCCCGTTAGGTGGCGCTGTAGAGCAGTTTTTCACGCCCACTTTCAGCGAGAGAAAATTTTTGGTGAAGTTTGAGTTTCTAAATATGTTGAGGCTTTTAAAAAGTTATTATAGACGTTCAGAGCACTTTTGCTGCTCAGACTTAATAAATGAACTTAGTTTAAATATCTAACGTTAATTTAAAAGGAACATTACGGTATATGGCTGTATTAATTTATTGTTTAGACTGTTTTCAGTTTTAGGCGCCCAACCTAAAACTGAAAGCAGTCGTCTGGTAAACTCTGGCATTTTAAAGTGGAAATTTTGCATTAAACCTGCTTTCCATTGTACATCTTAGGAAATACTGTCATCACGCCAGAAGTATAAACTTGATATATCAGAAATAATGAGTGTGAAGCCTTAAAATGTGTGTGACGTTTCAGATGACGAGGGCCCGGACCCACCAGAGCAGCTCACCGCCATTAAACTGTCAGACACAAGGTGAGGTCACAAACACACACACTGCTCTTTGTAACACTCTTGAATTCATGACTTTTCCTTTCTTTTTTTTTAAAGATTTATTTGTTTCTGCCTGGAGGCCAGTAGGTTTCCAAGGAGTCTCTGATTGCTGCCCTGTTTTTTTATCGCTCTTTATGATACTTTTGTTTCAAACTCTTGCTAGGAGAAAGGGAACCAAAGTCAGCAGAAAATGATTTGTTCCTTGTCTTGTTTAAGGATTGCGTTTAAATCTGGATATGGAAAGTACCTGGGCATCAACTCTGATGGTTTGGTGATGGGTCGCTCCGACGCCATTGGCTCAAGAGAACAATGGGAGCCCGTCTTCCAGGACGTGAGTAGATCTGAAAACGGTTTTCCTGCTCTTCTTGTTATTGTCGCCACTGTAGGTTTTGAATTGACTCACTACTTTTAACTGCTGCCTTTTTGGGCTCCACTGGAGCCTGTATGTTGCTGATATCCAGACTCACCTGAAGGCATCGTCATTATTACAAAAACAGCTTCATTTCTAATTGCCTTCATTATCATTATGTCTTCCAGCTGACACTGTAGGGACTCATGTTCATTTTTTAATCATTTGCAGCCATTTAGTTCACAGTGCGGCTTTATTATCTAATCAATTATTTTATTTTGAATATCAACAAGAAATGACATGACAGCGTGCTGAGATTATATAAAGATCAGGGCGTAAAGACAATGACAGACATTGGATTCCTGTTAGTGGAATCCAGTGGGGGTTTTTCTTGAAGAGAGAGGTATCAAAACTTTTTTTGTATTGTGGACTAAAAACTGCAAGTTGGAAATATTCAGTGAACTTTTATTTCCAAGTTAAGAACATAAAGTCATTTTAGTGGGAATTATTTTCTTTGTACCTGCTCAACAAAACTAATAAACATGCTGATGCATATTTATCTGATTTTTGTAGAAAAGAACAAATCATGGATCCAAACAGCCTCTCAAACATTTGCCTTAATAAAAGGCTGGTATACTGTTTCAACTGTTGCTCTAGAAATGTTTTTATTTATTCCCAGAAATGACAAGACGAACTTTGTTTTGAAGTCCTTTCTGTATTAATGAATATGTTTGAAGTTTGTTTCACTGGATGAAGTCGGAATAAAAGTCAAAAAAAGAACCGTACTCAGTAGCTGCGATTCCATTACAAATGTGCGCAGAACTTCGTTGATATTCAGCTAACATTGTGTCCAGTAATTTCATTAAAATGACCTGTGGTGCTCATTGTTAGCACCTCTTAACATAAATATTAATAGTTGTTTTTGTTGCATTTCTGACAGTTGTAGTATTCAGTCAGAGGACTTTGGCACATTTCCTCTAAATTATCCTGAAACCTTCTTCTTCTGTCAGGCTGTCCTCCCCGTCTCCTGTAGATGGCTCACTTTTTGGAGCCAAGTTAAAAGAAGGCGGATTTCCATGCTGAAATACCCAAAAACCATTCCTTTTCCTTTTTTTTTATAGAAATAATAATCTTAATGTTAGATTGTTTTTTTCCTCATTGAATGAACATATTTAACTTCTAGGTTGGATCTGGTTCTATGTCATATGATGCTCCTTCTATGAAAGATTGGTTTGTTTAAGAGCTTTTTACACATCACCAGGAATAAAAATAAAAATAAAAAAACAGGTGGAATGAAAGTCGCAATAACTTATTTAAAAATAAAGTTTCAAAAACTTTTCTGTCTTTCAGGTTTTCATATCAAAATATGTTAGCAGCATTTGATTTTTGGACGTGTTGTTGTTATTTTATTCCATGCCTAGACGGATGACAGGTAAAAATTAGCTGTGGTGATAACCAATCACCCTGTCATCCTCTGGCTTGTTAAAACCTTCAATCTTCAGATGTGTTTTACATCAAAGATCTGTTTTTTTATGTTTCTGTCACAACAGCCCGTCTCACTGCAGTTGTATTTAATGTGGTTTTTTTTGTTGTTGTTGTTTCTCTTCCCTCCCTCAGGGTAAAATGGCTCTGCTGGGTGCAAATAGCTGTTTCATCTCCTACAGTGATGATGGAGACATCGTGGCCAACAGCAAAACAGCGGGGGACGCCGAGATGCTGAAGGTGAAGGATCGGCTGCCTTTCTTTCTCTGAGGATTCGTGTTAATCCCCAGACTGTTTTTGCAGTCTCTGCAGGAACTTGACCGGTTCAACAGAGGAGGGGAAATGGTCGCCTCCTCACTGAGGGAGGTCAAGGTGTTGGTATTTAACGTACGCCTTCTCTCTTTGTGTGTTCTCCCTGCCCCAATGAGTAGATCCGGACCAATACAGAACGGGAAGTCAAGCACAAAGATGAGCTTGCAGATGAGGACAGAGGGAATGTGAAATCCTGTGAGGTCAATTATGTGTAAGTTATCACCACAGTTTCAATGAATATTACTCATTTATGCAACAGCAGCGTGCGTGTTACATCAGCATCTTATCGGCTCTGCAGCCTGCAATGTGCACAACAAAAAACTCAAAAAAATCCAACGCTCTTTACTTAACAGTCATAAACATTCATAAAGACTCCTTCATGTTCATAACAGAAGCTATGTCATGTTTATGACAGTGTCATGTCAGTCTTCTGCACACCCCTTCAGATAGTGTTACTGTTATGTAATTTCAGGAGAATTTCTTTGAATTGTGTATATATATTTATTATTCACCAACAGATGTATATACAACAAACATTAGAGTGACAGAAAGCAAAAAGGGGTATTGATCTACAAAACAATTAACCGGATAATAGAACGAATAACGACAACAGAAATAACTCATAACTCACCGGCAATGAAATGTCATTTAAAAACATGGAGTATATTTTATTGAAATATTCGAGTTGGTTTTTATGTATTGCTGATTGTTGCTCCATTGATCTCTGATGTGTAAGTAGATCTAGCCATTGTGAGGTACTGATTTTTTTCCTATTTTACCAGTTAAGCAGTTACAGGTTTTTATGTCAAATAAAATAAGACTTGTGAAAATAAAAGAATAAAACACGTTGAACACTTACTCACCTGTTGTGATGCTAATTGAACACTAGGTGGCGCGTTTCTTAAAGAGACCCAATTTCAAGACGTTAAATTATGAAATAAGTCATATTTGCTGTATAGTGCATTTTTTAACAAGTGAAGTTAACATAGTTACTTCATTATGCTTTAAATTGACACTGTGTGGCTGGAAAACACATGATTCTTCTCCTTTAACACAAAGTTCCCAGCAAAGAGCAACAGAGTCATTTAAAACATGTTGTTAGAAGGAGCTAAGTAAAGAAATGTCACCACAGATATCCTACAATTGTCTTCCCCAACTGTTACATCGCATTAAACTGTTTTTGTTCTGATGATAGCTTTGTTTGTCATCTTTTATGTGTGTCATTAAATCCACACTGCTGTGCAATTTGTCCTAAGCACTACTGCTGCATCAGACGTGTGTAATGGTGTCTGGATGTTTTCGCTGCTCTCTGATATTTAGGCCCGAGCAGCTAAGCGCTGCGAGAGCCTATTGAAACCTTGCTGTAAATTATTATTATTATTAGGCCCGAGCAGCTAAGCGCTGCGAGAGCCTATTGAAACC